TGCTTGGTGCTCACATGGCTCAGGGTCAAACTGATCCCCGTACATGGGCCTGGGAAGGAATTTTCCGCAGGTCAAACTGGCAATGACCGTGAGGATTTTTTGCCTTCCTCTGCAGCATAGGGGTGCGGGTCACTTGCCGGGATTATCGGGGCACATCTCACTTAATCGTTTCCCTATTCTCTCCCTGTGGCACCTCACAGTCTAGTCTCCTGGGAGCTGTAATATTTTGCCCTAATTCCCGTTGCTGGGCCTGTGGGCAGGTGCTGGCAGCCAGGGCTACACAAGAGGTCAGACTAGATGATCTGCTGGGCCCCTGCTGCCTCGAAGGCTGAGATTTTGGATCTCATCACGTGCCTCTGGGAGCCCGGGGCCCTAGGCAAGGACCTGTAGTCCCTACACTTGAATCCGGCCCTGTCCATTCGCTGCTCATGCCCGCCACAGGGACTGCACCAGAGCAGAAAGAGTTCACCCAAGCAGTCACAGACCGACAAGGAAAAGGTGCTAGGCCTGAAACGTCTGCCTCATCTTCTCACCCCCGAGCTCCCCAGCCCTCACTCTGATCCCTGGGCAGTTAACCCGGAACAGGCCTCTGCCACTTGAGCTGAAGGTCTCAACGTGTTTGGTGGGAGCAGCTTACGGTGGCTGTCTGCCACTGATCAGCCCCAGCCACGCTTAGCCTGCGCATTGCATGAAAGGGGGAGGGATAGCTCAGTGGTTTGAGCATTGGCCTGCTAAACCCAGGGTTGTGAGTTCAATCCTTGAGGGGGCTATTTAGGGAACTGGGGTTAAAAAAAAAAAAAAACTGTCTGGGGATCTGTACTGCTTTGAGCAGGGGGTTGGACTAGATCAGTGGTCCCCAACGTGGTGCCCGTGGGTGCCAGGGCATCTATGTGCGCCTGCATACTGTCTTGCGAACGAGCAGCTGCCGAAATGCCGCCAAGAAGCAGTGTCATCCAGAGGCGTTGCCGCTAAAATGCTGCCGATTTTTGGCAGCATTTCAGGGGCGACGCCTCTGGATGACGCTGCTTCTCGGCAGCACTTCGGCAGCAACGCCTATTGATGTTGACGCTTCTCGGCGGCATTTCGGCAGATGCTCATCCGCCAGCCACAGTCCTCGGTGGCTCGTCGTCCGGCGCCCGCCAGACGAAAAAGGTTGGGGACCACCGGACTTTAGATGATCTCCTGAGGTCCCTTCCAACCCTGATATTCTATGATAATTGTTCTTTGCTGACCGTGCACAAGCAATGCTGTGTTGAGTCTGCCAGCACCTGCATGAGGTTTCACCTGGGAGTTTATAATCGATGTGCCGTCCCAATAGAAAATCCGGTGGCTTTTTTCCTCCAATAAGGCTAAACGCATTTCCCCAGGACCTGGGTGCGATTTCTGAGGAGGGCAAGGCCAAGCGCGAGCAGATCCAAGCGTGTCAAACACACGGGTCTCGTGTTCAGTCTGTACCTTGTCATCCTCCGCTGCAGCCTTGCGAGGGAATTCCAAGAGGCGTGAATTTGTCCTGCAGGTTCAACGCTCATGCTCAGACCGGCCACCTACCCTCCAGGAATACCGCTGCCATGTAAACTCAGCCTGCCCCCCTGCTGTTCACCACCTCGCATTGTTCTCCACTATATTCTGCTGACACACCCGTGCAATCTGCTTTCGGCATCCTCCTCCTGGTAGTTTTGGCAGGCAGCGTGGTTGAGTGGTGAGGGCATGGGGCTGGGAGTTGGAACGGCTGAATTCTGTTCCTGGCTCAGCTGAGGCCTGTGGGTGACCTTCTGGAAAGTCTGTGCCTCAGTTTCCCCCCCCCGGCCCTTCTGGAAAACGGCAACAGCGATGCTCTTTCAGGAGCTTTGACAGCCACCGATGAAGAGCGTTACATAAAGTATTAATTACTACAGGATGAAATCAGGCCCTGTCTTCCTAACTGACTCTTGGCCAGATGGACAAGCCCCGTTGTTTAGAGGCCTCCTATGCTCCCCAAAACCTTCCCTCCGACCATGGGAAATTAGCTTCCGAGAACAGCTTTCCAAGGTTCCTGCACACAGTAATATCCTCCACGAATCCCAGCCGCTCAGCTCCGGAGGGTGACCTTTCCTGCCTTGGAAGCATGTTGATTTCAGCCCCGCGTTCACTGGGGCTCCTCCCTTCCCTCCCCCAGTCGAGGAGAGCCCACACCTTGCCGGCCGCATTGTTTGTGGAAGCGCCGGGGGCTGGGAGAGGACCCAGAGGATGGAATAAGTAAACTTGGGAAAGCGCCTGGCCGATTCTTTCCCCCCCGCCCCGTTTCCTAGATGCTGCCTGCTTGACAAAAGGCCCCACGCAAGCAGCAGCACCATCTGCTTTCCTTGGGAACCCGAGCCCTCCACTGAGGCAAACAGCCAGCCCCTCGGCCATTGTAAACACAGCTGCAGAGTTGTTTTTGCATCTCTGAATCGGCTGGCTGGAAATCGCCTCCCTGACCCATGGCCTGGGAGATGGGGACCAGCTTCTCCCGCTCAACATGTCTCCGTCCTGCCACCATCCCCCTCAAGGGGGAAGGTTTGAAGCCAGCTGGGATCAGCCTTCCCCCCACCCCACCGACGAGCCCCAGTCTCCCCCGACCCAAAAACCTTACAAGCTCTAGTTCTATTTCGGGCCCCCATGAGCTGGTCTATTGTTTTCCACTCCCACTTGCCCGGTCTTATCCCTGCAAGATATTATCCCAAACCCAGGGGCACGTGTGAGTTCCTGGCTATCCTTACACTGCATGCTACAGCCAGGCAGCACTGCGCGGTGAATTCAGATCCTCCTGCTCCAACGGCACAGGCTGAGCTACTCTCTGTAACCCGTGAGCGGCTCAGGGGCCTAAGACACACACACTGACAGTTCAGATTCCATCCAGTAGAGGCCAGCGGCGCATCCTGACACGGGCGACTTCAGTGCAGGTCACCAGCCCCTCAGCACTGAGTCACACGTGCCGGCGGCGACATTCTCATGACGTGTCTCGGAGCTGGTTTGCACAGGCCTCTCCGTATGTGCCGCAAGATTTCCTGCTCCGCTTTCCCAGCCCATACAGGACGGGCCGGTGCACTGTCTTTCCCAGTGACGCCTCTCCTTGATCCCCTTCCCCTTCCCCATATGCTCCCTGCTGATCCTCTCTCCTACACCAATAGCAGTTTCATATTTACACAAATGTCTTGGAAGTCCCTCACTACCCCAAAACCAGAAATAATGGCTTGATGTCCTGAGGAAAACTAGATTTTCTTCCCACAAGGCTGTACCCAAACGCTCTGCTCGGTGTTCTGGCTCAGATGTGTGGGGAAGTTATGCTAGGGCCAATTTCACCCCTCAAGGGTTGTTCTGCAGCGTAGATGGGGCTCAAGGGGTTTATGCTCATATATGGTCACTGCATGTTTTGGTGTAGTATAGAAGCAATCCTATTGATTTCTACGGGCCCGACCCTCAGCTGGTATATATTGGTCAGGTCAGCAGAACTAAGCTAATTCATACTGGCTGAGGATCTGGTCCAGCCAGAGTGGAGCCTCGCTGCACGGGCCTGTATTTCACCCCTGTGCAGAGATCTACTCTGCTGAAGCAGGGCCAAATTTAGGTTTTGGCAAAAACTAAAACTGCTGGGATTCTGCTGCTGTGACGCTTTAAGGGCTGGAGAAATGTTCCCACTTTTTTTTTATTTTTGTTTAACAAATTTAAAGGCCAGCGGAAGCAGTTTTAAACAACCCAAACGCAGCAGGGCCGGGCTCCCGCAAAAGGAGCCAGAACAAGAAAGCCACTCAAAACTGATAAGCAAAGTGAAAGTGGCTCGTCTCTTTCCACTGTCCACGCTAAGAAATGCAGGAAGTGAACAAGCCAACCGGCATAAACAGCGAAAATGGCTCAAACTCTGTCAGATTTAATCATCCAAGGTGTTTTTGTATCAAAGAAAGGAATTAAATATATATATATTTCTAACTTGACAGCGCCCCTTTAATGTCACAGGCCTAGATATGGCAAAAGTGACGAGCAATTTGGGGTGCCTGACTTGAGACACCGTCAATGGACCTCATTTTGAGAGAGTGGCCAGTTCGGCACTTCTGAAAAAGGAGGCGCGAAAAAAATCTCTAGTCGCTTTTGAAAATATCGGCCCGGATTTTTCGTCCGCTCCACGGCGTTTGCCACGGAGCCGCTTTGCTGGGTTGACTCTGTTCATTGCTATTGCTCGGTGTGGATGCACCAGCTCCCTGCTCCCAAGCCAAAGGCATGTTTGAAAAGCCTGAAGGAGCGGCTGGAAATTGTGGATTCTACCTACGGAGTGAAGCTGCACGGGAGGAAAGGGGGATTCTTGCAGCCGCTTATCAATCCTGGTAGCAAAGTTTCTGATGCAGCATCACATCCGCTCAACAATATGAAGAGATGCACAGCGGGAGAGATGGGCAGAAGAGACAATGGAAGCAAATTACTGCTCAGTGACCAAATCAAGGATGCTGCATCCGTGCACAGCAGGCAAGGGTCTCTGTTACAACGGGGCGGGAAATAAGGAAACAAACCCCATTTAAGAAGGGAGAGGCGCTTGCCCAGAAGCAGGGATGGGGGGGATATCAAGCTGAGAATGAATGGTCGTATGTAGGTCTTTGGCAAACCGAGACCCAAAGGATGAAAAGTCAAGAAAGCAAAGCCACTGGAACGAGGGGCCCAATCCTGCTCCACTGAAGTCAGTGGGGACAGAGGTGCAACCCATTTCAGTGCAGCAGGATTGATCCCCATGTGCAGAGAGGTTCATGTTCATGATTTAGTTGAGGATTGGTCCTGCTTTGAGCAGGGGGTGGGACTAGACCTCCTGAGGTCTCTTCCAACCTGGATATTCTATGATTAGGCCGGCGAGAGCTTTCACCTTGCGGCAATAATATTAAGCAAGAAAATAAAATTTGGGGCTCATGGAGCTCTGAATCTCACCTGAGGTGGCGAGGGGAGAGGGAACACACATGCGCATTAGTGCAAGCTCGCCAGGACAATACAGCAGGGCTCACCTCGCTTCTGCATAAAGCTGAAGAGGTCGTCCAGGAATTCTTTCCTCTTGGGATCGCCATCCAGCTCGTACAACTGTGCACAGAGAAGGGAGAGAAGAGATGACTCGCAAGGCACCCGGGGTGGGAGAACATGACAAACACCCGCCCGCCAGTGCATCCCCCGTAGGGAGGGGCCCGGAGAGCCTGGCTCTGCAGTGCCCAGCCCGCCCCGTGTCAGAGGAAGTTAAACACGCTGGATGGCACTTGGCCTAGTAGGTAGGAAACACGACAGATCGTTTATTATGAGAGCGCCACTGCCGGGTCAGCTGGTGAGCAGAGGCAGTGGTGAAACGGGGGAGGCTGCATGAAGCAGAGTCCTGAAACGCAGCCAGGTCGCTGTCTCACCCACCCGGTTTCCTTTAGCTTCTAGGTTTTCCAGCTACGCGACGAGAGTTATAAACGCTGCTCCCTTTCTAGGCACAGCCGCAGCGCAGCGTGCGATACTTGCTGGTTTTAAACCATTCGCATGGCTGTGGTTTGGAGTGGTGATTAGAAGGGGGAAGAGGAGATAGCAGGTGAGCAGACGCTTCTTTACATGCATCTCCACCACGTGGCCCAGTGGTTACGCTATTTGTTATGGCTTGGAAAACTCACAGACCGTAAGGTTAGAAGGGACCACGGTGATCATCTGGGCTGACCTCCTGCACATGGCAGGTCACAGAACCTCACCCACCCACTCCTGAAATAGACCCCTAACCTCTGCTGAGTTACTGACGTCCTCAAATCATGGTTTAAAGACTTGAAGTTACAGATAATCCACCAGTTACAGTAGTTTAAACCTGCAAGTGACCCGTGCCCTACGCTGCAGGGGAAGGCGAAAACCCCCACAGGGTCTCAGCCAATCTGACATGGGGGAAAATTCCTTCCCAACCTCAAACACAGTGATCAGTTAGACCCTGAACATGTGGGAAAGACCCACCAAACTCGCTATGTGACCGTGGTCAAGTCACTTAGCCTCTCTGTGCCTCAGATCACAATCTGTAAAATGGGGATAACGGTTCCCATAATGCCCCACTTCACAGGAGGGCTGGGAGATTGGGAGGGGCTCCAATGCTATCGTCACGGGGACCATAGATAACTCCCAGGATAGTGCCATCAGATTGGTCCATTCTGGCAACATCAGGTTACTGCTCCAAGAGACTCCCAGAAACCTCATTGGGGGGGGGGGTATCCCCAGCTGTGTGTTAGGAGCTGATAATGTACGAGCGGCAGCACAGCCCCTGGCCTAACGAGCTTGACGTCTAAGCCAGGCTGAGTGTGGGGTACATTGGTACACCGTGGGGTCTGCTTGGGACGGTAGCACTCCTTTGGGCTGGATCTGCGGCTGGAGCATCATGGAGTTAGGTGCCCAAATGACAAGGGAAGCCAGTTCAGGAGTCGGGCGCCTGACTACCGTAGGGATTTGAAATCCCCAACCGTAAGCAGGGGCTTAGCTTCAGGAATGGGAGCAGGATCGGGGCCACAGCACTCAGTCCCACACGCGATCACGTCCTTCTTTGGAAGGAGGCGAAAGCCATTCTGCTGCCCGGCGGGCGGTGTGGGCCATCGCCGGTTGCAGGAGCCCTGGCAGCCATTGGCATTTTGCTGCTTGCTGGCAGAGCTGATCTACATGAACAGCTGAAGCACCGGTGGCATGACCCCTGCTCTCTGCAATGAACATGCTCTCCGAGCACACACTTTGCATGGCTTAGGTGACGAGCAGCAACGTTTCCTCCAAGAACAGGCAGCAAGCACGTCACGCCCCGCAGCTGCGTTGCGGCTTTAAAGAGGCTGAAAGACGGTAGGTTAACTGGAAAGGGTTCCAGATCGTTTGCAGTTAGCAAAGCAAGCCCTGGGCAAACACCTTTAAGCGTATGCAGCACTGTTGGTCAGAGGGTATTAGAGAGGGGGAGGCAATCTCTTATTGGACCGACTTCTGTGGGGGAGACAGAGACGTCTGTGAGCCGACACCTGCAAAAGAGCTCTGTGGAGCGCGAAAGCTTGTCTCTCTCCCCAACAGGCGTTGGTCCTATAAAAGAGATTCCCCCTCCCACCTTGTCTCTCTAATCCCTTTAATGGCAAACACTCCAGATTACTATGTGACGATCCCAATTACCAAGATAGGGGACAGAAATTAATATATCCAGACTGTAAGCTCTTTGGGGCACGGAGCATCTTATGTTAGATGCACGTACAGCTCCCTGCACAATGGAGCCCTGATCCCCAACTGGGGCAGCCGGGCGCTACCGCAGTACATCTAACAGCAGCAGCAATTAGAACAGCAGCTGTTTGCATGGCAAAGCTCCACTGATGAGGTCCCACGGATAAGGGTGCATTCAGCGACCCAGCCAGGCTAGTTAGTATGGATGATCCTTTGTTAAGCTGGGCACTAGAATCTCCTTTTCTTTATCAATACACCGCAGCAGTGCTCTAAAGCCGTCAAGGGAGGGGTGCACTGACACAGCACAGAGATTCATCCCCTTTCAAAGCCGTTTCCTTCATGGTTCATGCAAGCGCTTCTCAGCAGCTGTTTGCAGGAAGGGAAGCCTGCGAGCCGGTCGAGGGAACGCAGCGAATCTTCGGGGCACGTAACGCTCATTAGCTGCAGAGTGCGTGGGTGTCAGAGTCCTGTCTCAACTATTAATATCGCCTCCCCCTCTCCCCGCGCAGCAAGAGTGTCAGTCACTTAGAACAGCTGGTGGGACCTTTGCCCCTCTGTCCGTTTCTAACACGACCCCAAAAGCCTGCTACGTTAAATGAAACTGAGTCGCCGCCTCCGTCAGAGATTGAAAAAGTCACCGTAAAACCACAGCCCCAGAGCTCCCGAGCCGGATCCCTTTCCGTTATTTGTAAAGCGTCGCTGGCCTTCTGAGCGCAGCATGCAAGACACAATGACCTGGGCCCAGAGAGTCTCGAAGAGATTTTGGGACCTAATTCCCATTGAGGATCTGGGCTCTGGGCCCGCCCCAAAGAGCTTCAACTACCAAGACAGGGCAATAAAGAGGCCCCCAAGTGCATAATGCAGAGTAGCTGTAGCCCTGTTGGTCCCAGGACATTAGAGAGACAAGCTGGGTGAGGGAATCTCTTTTATTGGACAGAAGCTGGTCCAATAAACGCCATTATCTCACTCACTTTGTGTTTCTGTTAGTGTATAAAGGGCAGGGCTCATCACTTCGTTCTGTGTGCAGACAGCGCCTAGCACCGTGGGGTCCTGGTTCACGACTGGGCTCCCAGGCATGACCCACAATCCAAATACCAACAGGGACTGTAACGCACGCTAACTGAATGCGTCTTGCATCCTCCACTAGCGGATACTGGTCTCCTGCCGCTACCAGCTATTGGAGTTACTCCTTGAGCTCAAGCGGGAGACCTGCTCTCTTTTACTGCTGCGGGTTCCAGGTTTGAATCCCACTGGTAACCTGTAGGTTGACCCCAGGACTCCCATGGCCCAGGCCAGTCCCCTAGCCACGGACCATCCTTCCTCAGGTGTCACACAAACGGCAGCTTGCCTGGCACTAAAGCCTTCACCTCGCCCCGAAGGCAGCAGCTCAGCATTAACTTGGACTGTCTTGGCTGGTGCAGGTTTTTCCATCAGCCCCTTCATGATACAGGAATGTTGCTTTGCCTGCAGCACTCCACTGCGGTGCCCCATATTTTGTCAAAGAGCATCCCAATGGGATCACCGGGGCTTTTAGCATCCGCAAGCCCCCCCCCCCCTTTTATAAATTGGATCCGGTCTAGAGAAGCTACCGACCTTATTTACAAAGCATCTTAAAGCCAACACCTCCCGCGATAGTGAATTTCAGTCTCGATGAGACCGTAGGGACAGAAGCCCCTTCCCCTCCTTTCTGCAAAGGGATCCTTTGAAGCAAGACGCCTTCTTCCCACCCCACATCCAAGCCTTACACAATACAAGGCGCTAATGCTATTGTAAACCAGACAAGATTAATGAAGCAAGGCACAGGGGCATTACATGCTGCAAGAAGTCTTAGCAATACACAACTGGGGGATGTTTTTATAAGCCGTGACAGGAAGATCTATGCAAGGCTTCTAATGCAACCTCTCTGTGGGCTTCAATTTATACTTGCACCAGCTTTTCTCCTAGGACCACACCCATGGTTTGACAGCAGAGCACATTCCAGATGTGATTGATGAGAGCAGGCCTTGCCGGCCTGGGGAGGAAAAGAATTGAAAGCCACGTTAAATTCTTAACCGCCTTTTGGAAGTTGGATCCCAATGCTGGTTAGAGTTTTTGCACGCCAGACGCATAGCCGATTAATAATCGTTATTGCCACACATCCGTCAGAGGAACTGAGTAAAGGGCAAGCATGTGTGAAATACAGCGAAGGCTGCTTCACAGGCTAAAGAGAGAAACAACCGCTGCGCTCGCCTACAGCCAGTGCGTCACCCACCAGCGTCTCAGGTCCTCCTTTAACGACTGGTCCGCATGTGCTCCAATGTCAGAATGGAAACGCTCTACAACACGGGCAGGGAGACAATGGAGTGAACTCCCCGAGGAACTAAGGACCACCCCACCCCACCTTCCATTCCAAGTGGAAGGTGAATTTCTTTGACCGGCCTTCCCTACCAAACGTAAGCCACAGGGTGGCCTAGCTAGCGGGTGGAGCAGGACCTTGCCTGGTGATTGTGGTGGCACTTTGGGGAGTGACAAGCGTAGATCCGGGAATCAGGCACCGGTCCAAGGGTGAAGCTGGAGTCAGGATCAAGGGGCCAAGACTAAGCTCGGAACTGGAGTCAGAAGCCAAACCTAAGCTGAAGGATGAGCTGGAGCCAGGAGTCAGAAACCAAGACGGAGCAGAGAGGTTGGGGGTGCAGCAGGAACTGGGCTGGGAGCAAGGACTGGAGCAGGAAGCGGAAGTGAGAGCAGCTGCGGGCACGTTACGCCTTGAGCAGGCTGTATGCTGCCACGTTAGGCTCACGAAGCAAACCGCTGGCTCCCCAGCCCCGTCAGGAAACGCAACCGTTGGGAGGGAGCTCAGTGGGTCCAGGTGAGCTTGCTGAGTTGCCTAGCAACCAGGCTGAGAGCCAGCGGAA